ACAGCACAGGGCCAATTACCAATTGCCTAGTGAAAACAACATATATTAACTTCAAAACAAACAAAAAATTAAGCAATTATGGTACTCACACTACAATGACATCTCCTCTTTTACAAAAAGCTGGAATTGCACTAAACGTAGTAGAAAGTCCATAAGAATACAGAATTGAGTCTGGAGTTCCCAAAAATTTTGCTATTCTGGCTTCACAATCAAGGTGTACATCTGTAACCATATAAAAAACAGTCATGTAATGCAAACTGCCGCAGAAATCAGTTTAAATTCAATACCCAATCTTACCAATTGTCCCATAAAACCCACGAGGACCACATGAACCCACACCATATTTCTCCAAAGCATGTGTACATGAATCCTGAGGAAAACAATTACTGTTACTTGTTCTAAAATGCAAAGAATCTGTGCACATTTTAATTGAAATTGCTCACATACAAGTAACTTCTCGTGGCCTATCAATCCAAGATAATCTGCAGATGAAAAATTCACTACTTCTTTTCCCTTGATAATTGTATGCGGTCCAGCAGAACTGGATAAACGAAATTTGTAAGAAAAATCAGAGAACAAACTATAGAGAAAATAAAAAGAAATTTAATAACTTATCAGTAAAGAGTTAGAATTTGGCATAAACGAATCACAAGGACAGGTTAAACCTAAATAAATTGAACAACAGTAAATTATAGAATTTTATTGTTTTTTTAAAAGTATTATTACACAAGAGTTAGAAGTTTGCATAGTTTACAGATGGAAGTACATTAAATGGGTATCCAAATAAGAAATTGTAACTTGAGAAATTCCCTGCAAAATAATTTGCAGTTCGAAAGAGAAAGCTCTAATCACCTTTCCAACACTGGTGGTTCATACAGCATCTCTTCTGTGAGTGACGGGATAAGTGGCTCGGGAACCCATTCATCACATAACTCATCTATTTCCTACAAGGATCAAGCATAATTATAAGAGAAATTGTGCAATGAAATGTAATGGAATACCAAGTACATATTAAATCACTATAAAAATAGAGGGAAACATACGTACAAGATAGAATGGCAAAAGAACAAAGACAGAAAAACCTTATAAAATGAAAAAGACAAATCAGATACAATGAGAGTTAGAAGAGGTCTCTCTTTTTAACCTGAAAATGATATTTAGTGCAAGAACTTTCAAGATTAGTACTTCAAACGTAATAAAAAGAAAAGACCAGATTACAAAATTTAAAGATGAAATCAGAGGCCACTCAGAAACCGTTCAAATTTCAGAAGCATTATAAAAGAAGGTACATTACAGTCTTAATGAAAATAATAATATATCTTGTTTACAGCTAAACAGAAAAAATGCAATAAGCTCTGAAAAATAATGGACTTGAAGTAAGTAAAGAATCCTTGAACATTAATTAAATAATATTACCATGGCAACGAGAATCCATCACTTATCAGTTGGGAGAAAAGTTCATATAATCATTTAAACCCAGTTTTAACTTGCTAAATCTAGTTTTATCAAAATTTAAGTTTATCTTTTCACATATATTTACTACATTATATTAAAATCATGATAATTTATATGACCCTTCTTCCTTGTTACTCTAATAGTTGATTTTTTCTTCCTTGTTACTCTAATAATTGATCATTGTTGTTGATATTCGGTATGGGTAATAATAACAGAAAAACCAATATGAAGATGGATTGATTTCAGAAAACTAATAACTTGATGTTTGCAAGACTACAAAATTAATAATGATGGATAAAAGGCTATGTTTTTATAATTGTACAAACTTTATATACCATTATCTATATATGACCCTCTTGAACTCAAATCTTGGATCCACCACTGCTAGCCTAACATCTATTCTCTACCAGACAAGAACAGCGAATCCAGCTACTTAATTCATACAAGCATAAAGGAATCATCACATTGGAAATCAATCATGCCTTCACGCATGTAGCTGTTTACATTTGACAAGGGCAATAACAATTTGTAATTTGGAACAACTGAAAAACCTTCTTTGTTAAGGGCCGCTTGGGGGGCTTGTAACTCTTCTGGGAAAGGAGAATAATTATAACCACCAAAAGAAGAACCTCCACAAATAAATGTCCTTCAAGAAAGAGGAAGAAATGAATAATTCACCTAACAATTGAAACATAGAGAACAGATATAAACCAAGCTCTTTGAGCTAAAATGATACCTCCAATGTGCACCCCAAATATAACTGCCCGAGCAGAGGGAGCATCAAGAATCAAGGTTATCCAGTCTAATGTAGATTTCACTACACTTGAAAACATCGATTCCATTACTATCCCCACCTGAATCTAGTTTAACACTAAAAGTTTGAACATCAATTGGACGCATACACTTGCTTCATACTTAGCCCAAATACCACAATTCACAACCCTGCATTGTCCATTTTCCTTGTTAACATCATTAAAAAAGTTAAAGTGAACCCTGTTAGTAAAGCACTCAGATACTTAAAAGGTGAAAATCAAAGGTTTACTTGGTCCGGAGAAATGGGCCAAGGAGTGAAAAACCCCATTTCTCATAAATCAAAAACCGAAAATTCTGCATGGTATCGTACTGAAGCAATCAATCGCATGTCAATAATTTTCAAAGTGAATTGAGTAACAGGAAGATTAACATGGGTAATGGACCTAAAACCAGAGTGACCCTAGGCTAGCACCGAATCAGCTCAAATCTTACACCGCCGTCCACACATCATGGAGATATCCGAGGAAATAGAAACCGAACAAGATTAAGGAGAAAAAAAAAACAATCAAATTACCAGATAATTTTGGAGAATAGAGAAACATAGAGCCACGATTGACGATGCCGAGATGTGGAATTTTCTCTCGTCGAAGATTTGGAAAAATAAATCGAGAGAATGTGTCGAATCTGGAGAGTGCACGTAACTAAAATATGTAAAATTATTATTATTTTTTAATCCCCAGCCTTTACATTGTTTATTCTATTCGTCGAACTTCAAAATAATAATAATAATATATTTGATATCTATTTATTATCTGTTCAAATTAATTTTGATTAAAAATTTAAATATTTCAAAACTTTCTTCAAAGAATTGAGAAATATATATATAATATATATTTAACTGTCAAATCTATGCCATTTTATCTTAAAATCAAACACAAATTTTTATAAAGATTATTAATATTTTGTATTTTTTTTAAAAATAAATATTAAATTCCATTCAATAATTTCGAGAGCACGATACTCTTTGTTAATAAATTGATTCGATTTCTTTTAGTTGACATTGAAAGTTCGTAAGAGATTTAATCCTAAGTAGTAATGATTTGAAATATTTTAAATCTATAAAATGTATGTTTTGTCGAGAAATGTCGTTCATGTTCATAAAAAAAAAAATGTTTTTAATAATTATAATTAATTACTCAATTAATTATTTAATTATACAATTAATTGATTTTAATTAAATATATAATTAATAATAATGCACTGTAATTATTAAATAACCTATTGTCTTAATTATTTTAAATGTTACAATAAGTTATTTTTTATTGTTTTAGTGATAATATTGATCATAAGATTTTCTCATTTAAAATAATTTACTATATTGGTATTTGATTTTTTTAAATTTAACAAATTTGTACTTATTAAACAAAAAAAAAAAAAGAAAGAAACTTTGATAATGTTTTAATTTGAGAAATGTCGAATGTTTTTTGAACATTTAATATAATAAAATATATTAAATACTAATTTAAAAATTTTATTTTAATTAAATTAACCCGAGTTAAAGTTTTTTAATGAACAATTTATTTATGAATTCATAGTAAATTAAGTCTATTAGTCTGTGAGAGGTGGAGCTCCATTATTCAAGTCTCAAAATCAATCATTTTAAGTGAACTAACTACTAGGGATGAGTTAATTTCATCCCCTCAAATTATGTTTTCAGCTCCCTATTTAATCAAATCTCAAAAAATGATAAACTTATTGACTCGATTACGAAAGCTACTCTGGCCCATTCAAATCAAAAGATAAGCTCTCAAGATAGATGTCTATAACTCACTCAGGATTAAGATCGAGTCACATATGATCATCGGTAAAATATTATTCTTCTCAATTAATATATTTATAAAAATATATTAAATCTTTATTGGTTTATCTTATACACACTCATCGAGAGATACCCATTCACAAGTTTCTACATAAATGATTTGAGTCAAATCATATTTAACAATGACAAAGTTGTCGGACAGGATAAACCACCAAACCTTATCCTCTGCTATTGACAATGTTAGATGATTAGTTGAACATGATCCTCTTATATGTCAAACCATAGTGTTAAAATATAAATGCAAATTTGTCTAAATTCTTTATTCTCAAATGTGAATTTGTCGGAAAAGTTTTCAGATAGTTCCTGATCTTTAACTTGGTTAAATGAGTGTTCTTCAAGAGCACAAGCCCACCACTAACATATATATTTATATATATATGTACTTTTCCTCAACTTCTCCCTCAAAGATTTAAAATGATTTATAGAAAGAGGGGAACAAAATATTCCTTAGGGTCTGAAAACTTTCACTAGCAGACACGTTTTAAAATCGTGAGGCGGACGACTATACATAACAGACTCAAACATACAATATCTGCTAGCGGTGGGTTTGAGCTGTTACAAATGGTATCAGAGCTAAACACTTGGCAGATACCAGTGAGGACGCTGGTCCCCAAGAGGTTGTATTGCGAAATCTCACTTCAATTGGAAAGGGAACGAAACATTTCTCATAAGGATGTGGAAACCTTTCCCCAGCAGATGAGTTTAAATACCGTAAGACTGACAGCGATATGTAATGAACCAAAATGGACAATATCTGTTGGCAATGGGTTTGAGTTTTTATATATTCAATCTTCAAGAACTTAAGAGTTTCCCGTCTTTTTGAGTTCGGAGTTTATTAGCTTTGAGTCGAACTGTCCAGTCTTTCGAGTTTGTTTTATCTTGTACTCGGAGTGTCATATGATCCAATTCTAGAGTTGGCATTAATTTATAATGTTTAAGTAGGGGCGGCTAGCTGCAACCAAAGTAATTCCAATAATCTCGTTTACATAGAGGATAGGAAATTATAGGCCAAAAGAAAGAACGAGAATTACATCACATCATTAAACGCGTCTATTAGGGAGAGGTTGAGGTGTTTCAAGGGCGGCATACGAACGAGGCGAAGGAGGAACCATATCATGAACTGAAGCAACCGCAGCCACCGCGGGGAGTTTACAAGGAACATAGTTGAACGTGTTAGCTCGTGGGCAGCTCCTTGGTTTACAGAAGAAAGTGGCGCATTCGGTTGCGGTCTTTTGGCACCGGAAGCCCGGAAGGCAGTTTCCTTGGACGTGGAGCCTTTGAGCTGTGATTAACTTTCGGCACTGTGGGCCGACTTGGGTGAAATAGTTGTTGCTTAGGGTTATGTTGTAGACGTGTGGGAGGCTGCAGAGGGACTCTGGAATGGCTCCGTACAAGTGGTTGTTGGCTAAGTTAAGGATTTGCAAACTGAATAGGCAGCCTAAGGACTTGGGTATTGGACCTGTTATGATGTTTGAGCTGGCGTCCAACACTGTGGCTTTTACTAAATAACCTATCTCGAACGGCAGACAACCGGAGAGCCTGTTTTTTAAGAATAGTACCTCGCGTAGAGTCCTCCACGCCCGCCCAATTGTTGGTGGGATTGGACCTGCACGTAAGAATAAAACATCATTTTACATTAAACCAACCCATAAGCTTCAAATTTTGAATCTCTCCTCACTCGGGTTAGACCCCACTGTAATGGTATGATACTGTCTACTTTTAAGCATAAGCTCTCGTGGTTTTTCTTTTGGTTTCCGCAAAAGATCTCATATTTCTTACTTATAACCCCATAATCATTCTCTTAATTAGTCAATGTGAGACTCCCTCCCAACAATCCTCCACTCAAATAAAGTACACCATAGAAGCTCCCTGAGACCTATGGAGCTCTTAAGCAATCTCCCGACTCCTTCTCTGGAGTCATCGAACAAAGTACACTATTTGATTTGTTCGACACTTGAGTCAAATTTGACTATACTTTTGAGACTCACACCTTCTTTATTCGACACTTGAGGATTCTATTAACATGATGTTGTTATGAATCAGAGATCTCTACAATGACATGATATTGTCCACTTTGAGCATAAGCTTCTCGTGGCTTTGCTTTTGGTTTCTCCAAAAAACCTCATATAATGGAGATGTATTCTTTACTTATAAACCTATGATCATTCGTTTAATCAACCAATGTCGTACTCCGTCCCAACAACTCTCTCTTCTATTTGAAGCCGGTTCTTATAGACTTCAGTCCCACATATTAAAAGAGACAGATCTATTGAGGATTGTGGATTATTGGGAGAGAGTTCCACGTTAGCTAATTTAGAGAAGGATCATGAGTTTATAAGTAAATAACACTATCTTCATTGAGACGAGACCTTCTGAAAAATCCCAAAGCAAAACCATGACAACTTATGCTCAAAAGGGATAATAACATATGATTGTAGAGATTCGTAATTCTTATTAGTAAGAAGAATGGATGACCTGTAAACTTGTTGGCAGCAAGTGTGACATAGAGTGCGGGCGTGTTACCGAACGTAGCTGCCGGGATCGTCCCAGTGAACCCATTGTTGTTAATAAACAGCACATCAGTGTCAATATTAAACAACCGATACGGCACCGAACCATTATAACCATTGAAACGAAAGTCCACAAACGACAATTTATTGGCTCCAAGAACAGACCCAGGAAACCCACCAAGGAACTTATTGTTACTCAAATCAAGCTCATACAGGAACCGCAACTTGTTAATATTCCGCTTGATAACGCCACTAAAGTTATTGGAATTAGCATGAAAGATAGCAATATCCGGCAGGTTACGAATGAAGCGGTAGAAGTTCAAGAACTGCCCACCAAATCTGGCCCCACTGAAGTCAATGGAGGACAGGCCAGTGATATTGAGATCCGGAACGACGTCGCAAAAGAAGCCTTTGAAGAGGCAGTAATTGTCGCCGACCCATGTCTTGGTGTACCCAAATGGGTCGTAAGTGATGTTCCTTTTGAGCTCTTGAGTTATGTGAAGGATTGTGGCTCCATTGGCTAGAGGTCCCGGGTTGGTTTTGGGGCGGCGTGGCATTAGCTTAACGCACGGTGGGATCAGCGGTGGCCTTGGTCGGATCCGTGTGATGGTTGGGTTGGGTCGGGGCGGCCCAATTTTAGCTAACGAGAACTGAAAAATGAGAAACGCGAACAATAACAACTTTGGCAACATTTTCATTTTGGTAAATGAAGATGAAGCTAACGCCATTTTATAATATAGTTTGTATAATTTTGGAGGGAAAATAAAAATAAAAATTATAAACTATACTCTGTTTTATGATAAAGTGAAGATATTTGTGGGTAATTTTATTTTATTTTAATACTTTATTTTATATAAAGAGAGGTGATGAGTAGCTAGATTCCTTATAAATTTATTATTTAACTATATATATATTATATAAATAAAGGTATTAATTTTATAATAATATTATGGAATAAAGGCATCATCTGAATTATTGCTCCTCAATTATGAAAATTCAAATAAATAAATAATCTTCTACCTAACTTTTTTTAATATTTTTATTTTGACCACAAATTTTATTCCTTTTTATTACTTCTTTTTCATTTTTCAAAAAAAAAAAAAAATATATATATATATATATATATATATATATATAGTTTGATATTTTAAAGTTTAAATTGATATAATTAGTAGTTTTAAATTTTAATAAATACAATTTTCTCTAAAAAGAAGTCACAAATAAAGCAAACTCAATTATTTTGTTATAAGTATTGGAATTTAATTGGTTCATGACGTCAACTCACCTACCATATCATTATGTTGATATATTCTACTTTATATTGTTTCGACCGTAACTTCTTTGTTTTAGCTTTGATTTGGGTGATTCAAAAGGCATTAGAATCGTTATCCAAGCTCTATACTATGGACACTTCAAAATACTAAAATTATTAGCAATTAACAGCACGTTTGTTCTTAACAATTAATTTGATATTAAAGGCTAAAATCCAACATTTACGCCAAAGTTTATGACATGCTTTTTCTAATCATTTCAGCTCTGCCACATGCTTATCTAAACAAAATCAAACTACAATATCTTAGTTTGCTAAGTGACAAAGTCATGCGTTGTTCATGAATGCAAACTCTCAACAAGGTGTTTATTCATATTTTCATTTAGATATCTTTACTTTCTTATGTTAATGTAATTTTAAAAGGGTATGATCTCTGCCACTTTTAACGTACAAGCCCATCACAAGCAACTTGCTTGAAAACGAACCGTAAGAAAAGAGGAGCTCTCTTAGATCTTCTATTAATTTTGTTGAACGAGGATATTTTAGATTCCATATTTATATTTTCTACGAAGACGAACATCTCTGTGTAGCCTTAAAAGTTTAAAGGGATTAGTAATTGGTCATATATTTCTAACAACAAAATCAAAGAATGCAAGGCGTGTGCCATTTACGAGGCTAACCATGTGAATTTAGGGTTCAATCCAAATTCCCATTTTCTCCTTTGCTAAGTGGTCCTTATGATCTAATTTCACTCGTAACATTTTGTACGAACATAGTAGTACATTAGGTAAAATAATTAGGTAAAATAAACTATAATATAATGTTTGAAATTTAATATTTAATATAAATAATGACTAAATGTTTTTACTAATATAGGGACATATATTTGTTACGATATCCATAGTTTTATTATATGAAAGGAAATAACTGGGCCCGATGGGCCCTGCTCGTGTAATTTTGGCCCATCGTTTTTGGATATGAAGCCCATTATCAGATCGACGACATCCCGGCTAAATTTGGGAAGCCAAGAAGCAAGCCGGCGGATTGATTTGGTGATAAAGTCTTCGTTTTTAAGCGAAGGACCGTTTTGGCATCATCGCCTTCCTTCGTCAGCGTTGTGATCTCAAAAACGCCGGCGGAGATGGAGTTTTTTGGAATGGACTTCAGTTGTGTTTTCGGATCTCTAAGCGACGGCAAGTTCCCGGAGAAAAATTGCTTGCTACCCCTCATCTCTAAGCTCCTTGGCTATTGCATTGTCGCCGCTTCAACCACCGTCAAACTTCCTCAGGCAAGCTTTTCTCTCTTCCCTCCCTTCGCCGGAATGTATTTGTTCGAATTTATCGAAGGAAATGTGATGGGATTAAGTTTTTTTATTTATTTTTTATTTTTTTAATCTCTAGCATCTGTAATCGATGTTCTTGGTGTGATCTCTAGTTCCGGTCTGCCCTATATTTAGTGTTATGCAATTTAAGACTCGCGTATTGTTTGTGAACAAATTTTCGGTTGTGTAAAATGGGGATCGGCCATAAATGATTATAGGTTGCATTAATAGAGTAACCAATGGGCATCTGTTACCTCATTGGGTAGTAATTTAGTTATCGTGCTAGGTTGTGACATGAGATTAGTCCACGTAGGGTGTAGCTAAGAATCGAAACTTGTTCCAAGTTTAGCCAAGTGCTACATTAATCCCTTGAACTTATATCAATAACCGTATAAAATTCCCCACCCTTGTTATGGAATCAAATTGTTTATTCATTAATTCTTCTTTTCCAGTTCAACGTTTCCGCCTGAATAGTTTTTACTACTTTAATATGTATCCTACGATGAGAAATGTGGCTCCCTGTTCCATTTTCGTTTGTGGGTGCTTAACATTATGCCATCATTGTAATGCACAGTTTGTTTGTACAGATAATGAAGATTTTGAAACATCAGAGTGTCAGAGGACTTAGTGTTCTATCCTTTGAGCTAGAAGTCGTCGGTTACACGATTGCTCTGGCTTATTGTGTCCACAAAGGCCTTCCATTTTCAGCTTATGGGGAACTGGCATTTCTCTTGGTTCAAGGTATTGGAAACTACTAATATTGGCCACTGCAAACTTTTTCTGCAAAAATCTTTCCTGAAATGCGTTACTGATAATAATTAAACATAAAAGTGGTCAAAATAGGAAGAAGTGAACTGTATTTGATTATTAGACTGATATTTTTATTATTCCTAACTTAATTTAAGGTTGCGAACTGATTGGGTAGATGATCATTACAATGAATTATTGAATACTACTTTTAATGTTAGTATACCGATGTTTTCTTACGTTCTGTACGTGGTGGTTATACATCTATGGGTGAGTTGATAGATAATGGTATAGATATAGCTGTATTTTAGGAGGACACTTCACACCCTTGTGCACTAGCATACAGTAAAAGGTTTCTTGGAATCTATGACCAAACCTTTTGTTTTTTGGTTGCTTAAAATTATTCTTGTTTTCTCACAATTTCTTTATCATGATTTGAAGGAAACATTTGAATTTTTTAGCTAAATTTCAAAAATAAAAACAGGTTTTTAAAAACTGTTTTTTTTAGTATTAAAAATTTGTCTTGAATTTTGAAAACATCCCGAAAAAGTATATAACGCCAAAGAATCCCATAGGTGGAATTGGTGTTTATAAACTTAATTGTGAAAAGGCAAAAAAAAAAACCAAAAACCAAATGATTATGAAATGGGGTATACATTTTTGACAATTGATACGAGCTTCACCTACTGCACTATGTCAAGCAATGGCATACCATAGGGCATTCATGTTCTAGTTCATTTTCTAACTTTATTGCTTTTGATTAAGTTCAACCCAAGTGTAAAGGATAACTCTTATTGCTTCTAAATCAAATATAGACTTGCTGGCTCTTCCCATTCCTTACACTATTCTGTTACTCTTGGTTGTATAGATAAATCAGGTTCTTCATAATAAGGGTTCAAAATGGAGTTCTGGAATAGCCAATCGTACTCTTAGTTCTTAATTTGCTCATTGTGCTAGGTTGCATTTCCAGAACCATGGGTTATATGCTCGCTTGAATTTTGTTTATTCAAATGCATTGATTTATTTATTTTATTTGCTATAAATCAAACCAATTTATCCTCTTTTAATGGACTTATTATTATTTTTTTTTTAACTTTTCTTTTGCCACAGCTATAATTTTGGTTGCCGTTATTTACTATTACTCTCAGCCTATTGGTATGACAACGTGGTTCAAGGCGTTACTGTATCCTATTTGTTTTTCACTAGTTCAGATTTTGCTTTTTTCCTGTTGCATGTTTTAATAATGAGAAACAGGCAACTGTTGTCCTCCTATTTTTTTATTTAATTATATATTGAGTCTGGAAAAAGGAAAAATAGAGAAACTTGCATGGAGCCTTAACATGATGGCCACTCAGATATTGTGCTCTAGCACCAACAGTTTTAGCCGGTCAAATTAACCCTGTTCTCTTTGAAGCTCTATACGTAAGTCTCATACTGTTTATTAAGATTACTTAATCCATGTTTTAAGCTTTCTCCGTTTCTTGTATAATGTTATTTTAGATATTTTTTCTGTCACTAATTTATTTGTTTATTCCTCAAAGGAAGTAAATAAATGAAGAACAATCGAAGACTTACATCTACGTGTAATGAAGTTTTTCTCCTTATACTAAAAGCTTTCCCAATTTGTAAACTACCTTTCAGGCATCTCAACATGCAATTTTTCTCTTCTCGAGGATCCCACAAATATGGAAGAACTTTTCTGTAAGTTTATTTGAAGGTCCTATCATACAATTTCAAATTTTTAATGAATATTATATTTGTTGATCATCATGCGTTGGTGTATTAGTCAACAATAAGAACCATGGTAGCCACTTATGATTTAATATCCTACTAGTTCTTTAGCAATCAAACATAGTAGAGTCAAATGGTTCTGAAAGTGACTTTGGTTTGCAAGTTCAAGCTGAACTTAACCCATGTTTTATTTAACAGACCCACTCACATATATATCAATTTCAGAACCATGGCTGAACTTAACCCATGTTTTATTGATCTTTTCTTTCTTTTTTGAAAAGAAACCAATCTTCTATTGAGAAAAAGGGAAGAATATATGAGAACATACAAAGAAAAAAGGAAAAAAAAAAAAAAAAAACCACATAAGGAGTCCAAATGACTAAAAAAAAGGAGAGAGAGAGAGAAAAGATTCCAAGCCAAAAGAATGAAGCTTAGTTGATAGCACACAAAAATGTAATAGATATTGATTTTCATACTAGGAAAGCACTTTTCTTTGTTCCTCATTAAAGGCGAGATAGTTGCTTGCTTTGTAGCCTTAATACCTATGAGTTAAAGTACTCGAGACTAAATTGAATTTTTTGGGCACCATCTTCATTGATGTTTATGAATATTTATACAAGTTGTATAACAAATGTTGCTACATCAATGGAATCATGACTCAACCATGGAGGATCACCCTCCTAAAATAAAGGAAATAACTAAAAATAAAAATGAAAATGGAGGAATTCTCCTTACAATACGGAATTGACAACAACACATAAAGAAAAATTCAACCAACAACTAAAGATAATTTAAATTGGTTAACCTTCAATTATTCTTCTTGTCTTGGCATTGTATCAGTTTGCCTTTATGTTGTTTGAGAGGTGAGAACTAGTTTGACTTAGAGAAAGTTTTACATTTGCTGAAAGTAGCAATGGAATAGATTAAAACTTTGTGCAGCTAGCCTTCTTTCTTCTGCCACCTATCTGTGTCTTTGCTCTTTTGGTGCTACCATGCTTTTCGGCTAAGAAGCACAGACATGTTAGTTTGGCTAGCATGTTTGTGTACGACATGTGTTGGACACCTAGATGCTCCAACAATTGTTGGACATGTGTAGGACACTTGTTGGGCACATATGGGACACTTGTTAGCACTATAGATGTGTTAGATGTCACAATCCACGATGCAACTCTGCCCTCAAGAAAATCATGGAGGGCGATGGTCAGTTTAAATGGGGAGAATTTTACCGCCGTATTAAGAAGAGAATAGATTGTGACCCTCATGTGCAGTCAGTCATAAGCATGGCACCCGTTGGACCACGTGAGGGTCGAGAGAGACAAGTGTCATGATGCGATCGAGGAGGACGAATCTAACACATCAAGAACTGTGTGCATGATGCTAAACTAAGATATAAGAAAGATTAGAGGCAATGGTGTCATCAAGGGTGTCAAAGACAGGCGTAAAGGGGGCTAGGTAGCGCTCATAGCCATAACCTAAAAATTGGAGTAGTAGCGTGAGTTTTGACAAGTAGCTTTGGAGTTAAGTTTGTATAAGTGTAATGTGGAAGCTCGCTAATTTGGTGTCAATTGGGCATGATGCCAAGCTAAGGTATAAGAAAGATTAGAGGTAATGGTGTCATCAAGGGTGTCCGGTACATGCTTAAAGAAGGGGGCTAGGTAGGGCTCTGAGTCATAACCTTAAAAATTGGGGTTCCGGTAGCTTTGGAGTTAAGTTAGTATCAGTGAAATGTGGAAGCTCGCTAATTTGGTGTTAATTGGACACCAGATGGACTTTAAGAGGCCATATGACGCTTTGTCAAAATGATGTTTACTCCTGCCAAAAGCAAAACACCTTACAATGTACAGTAGGGAGAGACATGGTGTCCTTCTCCATCACCCTTGGGCCCCATAGTCTAAGTGAGCTACCCATGGAACATGTGTGTGTCATAGTATGGGCAATTGTTGCAGGACGAATGTCTTAGGCGTCTTCTTTTGGGAATGAGTTCTCGAATCCAGTGTTGGTTGGCATGGGTGTGCCAACATCGTGCCTGCCCTTTGAGTCGTTGGTGGATGTATTGAACAGTTCTTTGGCATGGTATGCAACAATGGCTCGACATGGACACAGGAGGGCTCATGTGTCAATAGAACTCTGATGACGTATGTATCAGATGCTCCGATCATTAAAGTTGACTCATGGGTCGATTTTAGATAAGTGTTCCTAAATGAGCAGCAAAGACTGATGACATTTTGAGGCTTGGAATGATATCATGAAGCATCGGAGGGACAATAGAGTTCCTGTGTAGCACTGTACAATATCCTAATAGGTCTCAGTAAGTGCTGAAATGACTTGGTAAGCTATGATTGAGCATTTAAGGCCATTTTGACCCAACAAAGGGTCCAAACACATCTGGTTGAAGTTACCGATCTATGTAGAAGCATGTGGGCCATGTTGTTGAGAACCAAGATGATGAAATAAGATGTGACGTTGCATTTGAAGGACCTTGACTAAGAGTTGAAGAAAGTTGTCTAGAGTCGCAATTGAATGGAAATACACATACAACAACGTGCATGGCCAAATGAAGCTTAGTTTCTACTACATAATTCATGTTCGGTCGGCTAAGAAGATCCTTGCCTAAGGTCGGACGAAACCATAAAGAGAAGCGGAAAAGTATAATGAGGCTTGAGTTTCTCTCAAGGCGTGTCTAAATCATGATGCCGCACGGTTTGAAAAGTACGATTGTGCAATGGACACTAGTTAGATAAAGTTGTTCAACATTTGTAAAACATGTATCAAATACTTCTTAAGTATACTAAATTGACTTTTAATAATAAATTTTGAGAGTGAAATACATCAAAATCATATTTTTAAGCATGTAAATGCACAAACTTATGGATGATGGATGTTCTTGTATAAAAATTATATATACTTTAAACATGTATATTTTAATAAATGTGCCCTTGTCTTAGATTTTAAGATGACTTGTAACAGTATCTGTGTCATGTCGTATCCAAGTCTTGTATCCGTATTCATGTCTCTTAGCTTTATGTGTCATGTCATATCCAAGTCTTGTATCTGTATTCATGTTTCTTAGCTTTCAGGTATGTTATATATTGTTTATAAATAATAGTTTCTTTGGCTTGATGACTTGTCTTAATTTTATTTTGTTTTGATCTCTCCGTTGTGAAATTTCTTATTAAAAAAATAATCTTCTCTTTACAGAACAAAAGTACTGGGGAGCTTAGCTTTTTAACATCCTTAATGAACTTTGGAGGTTCTATGGGTAAGATGATTGTATAATGAAATTTAGCGGTCGCATCAGTTTTCTTGGGAAGTTATCAAGGTTGCTTTCATTTTTCTCTTGCAGTGAGGGTTTTCACCAGCATCCAAGAAAAAGCTCCAAACAGTGGTATCCTTTTTTTCTTCACTTAAACTGTTTATGTAGTCGTTTTAGTGATGGCATCTTTAGAAGGAATTTGGATTCAAGAATCAGTCGTAGGAACATCACAGAAGTGAAGTTGCATTGTTTTAAAAAAAAATCCCAAGGTATTATTATTTCTCCGAAACTATGATTTTGCAAAATGCAGGTAGTTTTGGATTTTATGGGTTGAATCTTTAACAGAACACTAATTCTGATTTATTAGCATCCTTCAGTTTTTTTTTTTTTACTCATCGGCTTCACTACTTGAAAATTTTGAACTTGATGGGAAATTTTAATATTCCTTTTTTTTTTTTTTTCCTGCTTGCAAATATATATGCATAAGTTAAGCCTGATTGCCTATGCAAGCATTGTATTCATCTGCAAACATAATGCGACATTCCTCCGGGTCTTTGAAAACTTGCTTCACTGGCGTTCTCTGGCTTTATGAGTAACCTTTTGTTTTTATTTCCTGTTAATATAATCCATTCAAGTTCTTTTCCTAGTTTATTCATTTTGACAAACTGTGGTCCTTAAACTTGTCAAAGTTCTCTTGGGATCGGCTCTTTCTATTGCAACAAACGGTACCATTTTGAGTCAGATAGCTCTATACCAGAAGAAGGATGAAAAGAAAGGGAAGAAAACAGATTAGAGGATGAAGACTTGCAGTTGTGGCTTTGCCATATTGAAGATTAATGCTTGTATGTAGTAAGTAAAGGTGAACAAAAGTCAACTGTCTTCAAAAGAAAGGTTTTGGACTCTCTACTTCGTGACAGTTTCTCAAGCTTAGTCTTTAGCTTGTTGAGCACAACTCCTCAAGATAATCATTTTATTACAAGAAGTCCAGAGTTCTTTTCTTTTCTTTTAATATATAATGGCACATTGATTGCTGGAGTCATTCTAGGTTTTGATTATGATCTCCGCCTGGTCACCTTCACCGATAAGTCTATGTATGGGGTTGTAAAGGGGAAGGAGGTGAAATGTACTTTGCACTAGATTATAGATTTATCTCGATATATCTTTTTTTTTAATCTCAGAATGATATTTTTATCTCGATAAACCTTTGGTCGATTTATTGTGAATGCACACACTCATTTTCAGTAAGATGACTGAATCTAGATCATTGGACTTGGCATTTTGTCTAAGTAGTAGAACTAGGTAGAGGATATTGTTGTGCAGGTACATTTGAATGGAATTGGTAACTGCTTCTTTTAGCAAAAAGTGGCTAACCTCAAGTTCCAAGTGCTTGTGAAACAAAGTTGCCTTACAAAAGAAAATGTCAAACTATATATCATTAGCAGTCAGGTATGTAAGATGTTGCTAGAATCTGAAATTAAACTGCTTTTTCTTCTCCTCATTGTTTCTTTATTTCCTTGCCTCTTATTCTGATTTGATATCTAGATTCAAATATATGATACCAAAGTACAATCAGCTAAGCACAAAAGGAGTGAACTTGCAAAGTATTTATTTCTGATACTCTCTTTCTAGTGACTTCTTTTTTCTTTCCCGTGTTCTGTGTTCTTAGATGTCATAATTTTGTAGTCCATTGCCAAGCAAAGGCTGCTTTTGTTTCTCTGGGTTACATAGATTGCTGGTTGGCGTTAGGGTCCCAATTAGCAGATTTACATCAATAGTTTGGAAACAAAAAAGGAGGTGTTAGGAGGAAGAGCAGAGTTTGAGATGAAGTTTAAGGTGAGAAAAGGGGGGGTGTGCAATGTGCAGTGGGCTGTTCACTGAACTTGGGGGGCATCACTAGAGGCAGACCATGTACTGATACTTTTGTTGTACTGGTTCTGGATTGTCATGATAATTCTGAAAGGGAGAAAAGCAATGTCAACTCAATCCTCATCATGATGTTTCGTGAACCTTTTGTAGCCAACAAATGATTACGACCAACCTCTTAAGAACCATCATCAATGTCCCAAAAATGATTTCCATCCTACTGAAAATCATTAATGGACATGTTTGAAATGAAAGCTGGTTAGAGGAAGAAACTGTTGAAGTTGATAAATAGGAATTGCTGTTAGAGGTAAATACAAGTAGCAGCAGAGAAATGTAGTAGCACTTCTACAAATGAGTTATAGCAAACAGAAAGCAAGGCATTAGATGTTAAAAACCCTGATTCAAGGAGTTGAGAGCAAAGCCTTATCAACAGTGGAGATGGACATCATTGAATGCAGACAGAGAGTTAAACAAAAGAGACCAAAATGTTTCAATTCTCTGACACTCACAATAATTAATAGTCATTGGAGTGAGTGGTAATTATATTGCAATCTTGATTTCAAGAACTTATATACATGTTTCTCATGCAAACATGGTAGGAGTAGATGCAGAAAGCAGCAGGAACTTTAGAACAGGTTATTATGTGTTTAGAAATATCATGTTTTTGTTCATAGTGGAGGCACAGAATGGATTTTAGAGGAACAAATGATACATAGCATACAATGAGATTGGAAATGGTAATTATTTCCAGAAGGATTGAATTTGACACAGTTTTGTTCAGAATCAGAAAAGAAAAGATTAGTGATGTTGAAAGTATGAAATTCCCAGAGAGCAAAGCAGAAAATTTCTGACACCTCTTTAAATTGGGTCTGTTGGATGGATGAATGAATGGGACACAGCTGGAATGGAATGGAACAATATTAAGATCCTTAGCTGCACATTTCAAACCCTAATTCCTCATTGACCAAGTCAAACCCCCTCGACTTCCAACCTCCACCCAGTGAACAAAGTTGGATTGCAGCTTTTAGAAAAGGGTATTGCATTTTTGTTGATGGAAAAATGTGTTAGCAGCCTGTGTGTCTGAGTTGAGTAACCTCTGAAGCAAGCAAGCAAGCAAGCAAGCTGAGTAACCCCTTTTCTCACCTTTCCCTTTTGTTTTGTTTCTCGTAGATTGAGCCCTCATCCCTCTCGCTCTCTGTGTTCATCGTTTCAGCCTATATATTGCTTCTTCCAACTTAATGAAAAGGAAAAGAAACCAGTCCTTTCGTACGTTAAAGCAGCAGCTATCGTCTTTAATTGCTAGCTGCAAATACTGTAACACCTCAATACTTCAAAATCAATTCAATTCAAACTCTTTTAACTTTCTTTAACCTTACTGAACATTTAGGAATATTTCTTCTATTAATCTTAGCTGTTGGTACCAGATTTCAGTCATATTTAGACTCTGTTACGTTAATGTTGAGTTGGGTTAGATAGCACATGGCGTGCTCAATTGAGTTATTTGTTTAAGCATGGTTGTTGTAATTTTATTATATGTTTGTTTAAATGATTATAGATTGATGTGTATTTGTTGAATAACTATGAATTTATAAAGTCTTCAATCGTAAACCAATTCCGAGTTACTTGAGTCACCAATGCAACTAACCTGACGACATTTTAGATTGATTCAAAAAGTTTTTCCAACCCTATGCATCATGTACCCTCCTACCAATGATAATAGGTAGACAGACACCTCAACTCAAGTTAAAGACTATTGAGTAATTCAAAGACTTGTTTGACTTATTAGTCACTTGTTAAAGTTTATGGATCGAATAGATACAAATTCATATACATTTTAAAACTACGAACCTAATAAGTTGAAAATTATTAAGAGTAGTAGTCCCACGTTAACTAATTAAGCAGAACATCATCAGTTTATGAGTAAGGAACATTACTTCATTGTTGAAAGCCATTACTTCATTGTTGAAAGCCATGAGAGATTATTCTCAGAATTTTTTTTTTGTATTTTCACTTTCACCCGAGTGAAAAAAGCTTACCAATTCGAATTATAAAGGAAAAAGACAAGCTATTAGGTACCAAAGGGGTAACTTTTCTTTATTATTATTATTATTTTTATTTATGTTTTTTGTTTTGTTTTTTTATGTCTGAATTTGGTGGATATTTTACCTTTTGTTTTGCTTTTGATCCCATTGAGGCTAGGTAGGTGCTGTAAAAATAGTAGCCCAACACAAGTTCTTCTGACATGTTATGTTTTTTATTATTGAGAGTAAGATACACCTTGTTAATATAGATAGTAATTTTTAAATTTTAAACATTTTTTATCGTTATATTCATATATCTCTTTTAATTGAGTGTGTATTTAAAAAAATTAACATTAAACAAGATAATAAGATATTCATAATTACACTATAAATTAAAATCTAAATATTAGTTATTTTAATTTTATTACTAAATAGTAAGAGATATAATATACTCATAAAAAATTAAAATACTTTTAAGTTAATTTAGAATTTATTTTTTTAATTTATTAAATTTAAGAACTATTATTATTATTTTGAGTAATGTAAAAGTAATTTTATTGGATAAAATAAAATTTGCAAAAAATCAATAATTAATATTGTTTAAAAAAAAAAAAAGAAAAAGAACGCAAAAGGTGGAAATCGAATTCACCGAGATTATAGGTAAAGTGTAGCATGGATGCGAGTGACAGCTCATTTCTAATTTTTTTTTTTTCAAAATGATATTAATTAATCAATTTATAAAAAAAAAAAAAATTATTTGAATTTTTCAAAAAAAAAAAAGAAAAAAAAAAA